CTTTTTAATTTTTGCCAAGACCGGTTTTCCTCCCCCTTGACACCTCAAATGGGGGTGGCCTCAACCTCCCAAAACCCCCCAGCAGCCCAGCTGGGCTGGGGAATTCTGGAAGTTGAAGTCCACCCATCTTCAAGTTGCCAAGGTTGAGAAACACCGGTCTAGACATAATTGAAAAGATTTGCATGCTAGTTAATGGAGACCAAGGCTCAGCAAGTGTTAACTTCTGTGTTAAATCCTGGGACAGCTTAGTCAACTGATATTTTATGCATCCTGCAGGCAGTTTATATTATAATGATGACAACAACAACTTTATGGGCTATATTGTAGACTATTATCTCCATTTCTCACCCTGTTATGAGATCAGGGATTGTATTAAACTCCTTTAAAAAGTTCAGATCGGTTAAGGATTTTGATTAACAACAGAAAATCCTTAACAAGAGAGAGAGAGAGAGGTTCTAGTTGGTCCCAATAAACGAATTGCTTGAAAAAGTTCAAATCTCTTCTAGAAATTCTAAGAACTGGGCAACAATTTTTGTCCAGTCTTCCAAAATCGAAAATCCAGCTTTTTTATACAGTTTGCAAAGGGACGCTTCCTTCCAAGAGGAAGGGGATGAAACAACTGACAAAAAGAATCCGAAAGATTAGACTGAAATTATGCCATTTTCCGTGGGGCGTTCTTTTTTGTTCTTGGAGGTTAAAATGATAGCTATCCATAATGGGGAAGTCAAGAATTGAGAAATCTGGGCTATATGCACACACATATATGTACACATTTATAAATGTGCGTATTTTTATATAAATGCATACTTATGTAAACTTTTTACAAATCTTCTGTCTGGGGAATTCTGGGTGTTGAAGTCCACATGTCTTAAAAGTTGCTAAGTCTGAAAAACACTGCACTAGGTGGATAAAGTTTTCTGTATCTCTCTGCTCCCACCTAATGGTCATATCGATTTCTGCAGACTGAACATAGTCGCCTTATATTAATCCATACCACAGGCATTCTGTACTGCCATGTTCATGTATGACAAGGGTAAGGGTGATAATTATCCATGATCAGTCGGCAGTTGAATGCCAATATTCAGGGAACAGTAGCAGTAGCCCAGTTTACTGGTTTAACCATTGTAGTTACAGACAAAGAGCATGGACAGACCTGCTAATTAGCACAAAACATCCCAGAACAATAATCTAAATATCTTCCTCTTTTTTTACAAGCTGGCTGCAGAGTTTCCCTCTGAAGATATTTTTTTAATCACTGCTTCTCCTGTTATAAAAACGGTGGTGAACTTCAGACAGGTAAGATAGATTTGATCTCCATTTTGGGGCTAAAGGAAAAAAGTAGATTGTGTCACCCAGTGATTTCTTTCATCAGTAGCATCCTACTTGCATTGATAAATACTGTGCCTCCTTGGAGATTTTTCTGGTGTATTTGTATATCAGTAGATCTTAAGTGAAAGCCATTTTGGTGCAGTGGTTAAGACTGCAGGTTAGAAACCGGGAGACCATGGGTTCTAGTCCTCCTTTATCCACAAAACCAGCTGGGTAACGTTGGACCAGTCACTGTCTCTCAGCCCTGGGAAAGAGGCAGGAAAACTATCCAGACTTGACCATGTAATGGCCAGGAGTCAATAATGACTCAGACACACACACCAAAAAGAAAGCTCTAGATCAGTGTTTCTCAACCTCAACCACTTTAAGCTGTGTGGACTTCAACTCCCAGAATTCTGGGAGTTGAAGTCCACACAGCTTAAA